TTAAAGTGACAAGAAACGTACTGACAGTGGAATTACTGTGTACTAAAAGTTTGTACCGGAAATTAACAAACAAGCAGATACGTAACACCTCCTATTTCGAGAAATAAATCGTGATGTGATGTGGCACACAATGGCTTTATATGGGTTAGATATTACGACGCTTTCTTTTAACTCTTCTTTTCAATTCCAGTCACGTTCTTCTTGATCATCTTTTAATTTTCTATAAATTCCTTTTTGTCTTCCTTTTTTTTTATCTCTTTCTTCATGGTCCTCTTTTAATTTTTGTTTTGCTCTTTTTGATTTTTTTTAAATGTTCACTTTCGTTCTTCCTGATCTTATTTTAGTAAATTCATAATCTGAAGTAACAATTAGCTTTTGTCCCTAATGGCTCAGCAGTAAGTCTGCGTGCTTACAACTCTAAAAATCGGGTTTCAATGCCGTAGTGGACAGAGAACAGATGGCTCATTGTGCAGTGTAACGCTTAACAAAGAAAAAAAAACGCTTCGCTTTTACTCTTTCACCTTGTGGTCATTATCTTCAACAGCTGAAATTCAGTGAAAGCTTTGTTTTATTTTTATCAAAATAACAGAAACCAGAAGCTGAGCGCACTGTCACAACATCTTACATTGTGAAAATATGAAGAAACGACATAAAATGAACTTCTGTCGTTGAATATGAGGTGGACGAAAAGCAAGTTTTGCACAAAATTATAAATTAATGTACAACGTTTCGACAAGGTTTTATCATCATCGGGTACAAAACTTTGCATAATTGTTACTTTGTTAAACTTGTTATAACGATTTCTTCATTACCCATTCAAGACGTCTCCGAACTTTATTAGTTTCTAAACGGGTTCCTTGTCATCAAATTCTCTCTCAATATATAATATTATATGTAATAGAAATTACTATTAATAGAGGGCGTTTAATTCCTCTAACGATTAGCTTTCTGATTGGTAGTAATTTCAACTGCGGTTATTTCAAATACTAACTTGATATTAGGCTTAACTGGAAGACCCTGTGTAGTAATAACAATATTGATGTTTGCATTAAATTTTCAAGAAGTTTGGTATGTTAAGAATTTTTATTTTAACATTATGGCAATAAAAAATATGGTGATATTGAAATTTATGAGACCACTGTCTTACAGTTTTGATACTAATAGTACAGTGTAATAGTATTAATACTAGCATTGCTACTACTACTAGTAGGGTTGCCAGATTTCAAGAGTGAAATGCGAAAATTTATTTTTTATCATACCGAGTGGCACTGTAACACTAGTAACATATTGTATTTTTTATAAGACTTTTAGTTTTATCAATTGATAAATAATCTGATGTTTATTGCATCGCAATTTCAAACCATAGACAAACTAGATTTGTTAAAACTATAGTTGAAAAATAATTGTAAATACATGTCTAAACTAAGTTATTTTGAATCTACTTAGTGAAAAGTGACAGAAATTAAAAGAAAAATATTGCATTTTTGTTTTCCTATTCGCCACTGGCAAATTTTCAAATCTTAATTCTTGTGGCTGACCGAAGGCAGGTTAGGTAAAGAAAACAGCAGAGAGGGAGGGGGTACTGTACTGTGTGATTTGTTTTTGTCAGATATTTTTTAAATGAATTAAAAAAGACGTGCATGATGACAAACTGTATATATATATATATCAAATTCACACTTAGATATGGAGAAACGGGGATAATTTAATAGTTTTAAGTTTCTTTCTGGTTCCATTTTTGCTGGTAACTACCTACTAAGTTATAGCAACACTGTAGTAACTGCCATTAACAGTGTGGCTAAATTGAAGAAAGTATTGCATAATACTATAGTTGATAAGTCACTCAGTCTTTCAATGCTGTCTTTGTTGCTTGTATTTTAGGATATATTTATAGACATACTAATTACAAGTCAAAACAGAAAATTACTAAAAATACAAGTAATAAATATGTGTCTGGCCAGGACTTGATACTAAAGTTAATGAACAATACAACATAAATATCAGTGTTAATAATTATTTCAATAAATAAAAGAATAAATAAAACCAGAATAAGAAAAAAATAATCTAATTCCAAAAAACACAATATTATAAATTTACAAAAACTTCAAGATCAATAACAATATTGAGTGACAATTAGCAATAATACATTTTAACTAACTTGTTTAGGTAAGAGTTCCATATGACACCCCTACTCAATTTTAAAAAAAATTCATCAATGTAATATTTATGTATTAGTAAATCATATTAATAGTATGATCTGATAATTTTAATACATTATTATACCACTTACTTCATTAATTAGATGTACAATCTTCTTGGGGATAAACTTTACAAATGTCTTGTATAAAGGCATCAAAAGGCTACTTTTATCAGAATATAATGTTCTCCACATGTATTCACACAAATGCTTGTCAAATGTCTTTGCCCTGGTATGTATAGTTGGTAGTTGTCTTTTGACACACCACCACCGATTCTCTATTAGGTTTGTACATGCACCACTTTTCGGGTCCACAAAATTTTCAGAATGATTGACAGTTTCATGTTTGTATCCCAGTTTATTTAAACATTTGTATGCGGCCCCAATTTTTCTAATACGCTTCTTAAAATAAACCCTTTTCAGAATCTTTTTTATCCAGGCAATTCTACAATTTTTGGGTGGGGGTGCCATATGGAACTCTTTCCCTTGTTTAAGCTCAAAGCAAGGTTTTTATTTATTGGTTAGACAGTGAGGTTACATCTCATGTGGCTAGCTAACTTGCATAATTTTTTACAACATTAATATCTGTATGTCACCACTAGAGGAAGCTTGTGTCAGTTTCATAATAATTTATTAAAATATACATAGTTAAGTTCAACATGCTCTAGCTAGATAGTGAGTTATAACTTTAATATAACTAAAAAGTCATAGTTGAACTATAAAGAATAGAAGGAATAATAAATGAATGGTAAACAAAACCATAAAAAAATAAAAGTAGAATTTGTTATCACACAAGTAATACTAGTAGTAGTAGTAGCAATAGTGTTGAATTGGTTTCCATTAGTATTAAATGTATGGTACAAATTATAAAAAACCCAAATGCACTACATTGCATTTTTTTATAATTTAAACTTATTTGACAAATATGCTCCCAACTTGCCATTTGATATTAGTCATTCTGTAATCTCACTGCAACCCAAACAGTAACTTATTGCACCCACTGTAAGTGTAATGTAGTATAAAACAGTAGGTTTAAAACTCAGTATTGCCTTTAGACCCATATTTTGATCTGTGAGCAATACCAAATTCTGATTCAGATGCTTGTATGCAATTATTATGTTTTAATCAAATTTCAGCTTTATGGTGTTATGTTAAATTCATTTGAAATCTATAGCTTGGCTATAATAATTGGTTTTGTTTGGCATTTACATTTCAATTTTAAAACCCAGTGGTATAATATTTCTTGCCTTATTTTTTGATGTGGATTTCTAAGTTCCATTAATGATCATTTCCTACAAGAAGTTTCTTTGATGTACCTTACATTTGAGCTACTATTCTAATAAGGTATTAATTTTTACTCTGAAGTTCAAGTCCAGACCATGGTGCTAAATGGGTATTTATGACTACTAGAACTAGGTATTTTGATTTACATTTTTTATTAATTTTGAATTGTTTACTGGTGCTAAATGAATGGGCATGGCCAGGTGATTAGGGTGCTTGACTTACAGTCTGAGGGTCGCGATTTCGACTTCTCGTCCCACCAAATATGCTCGCCCCTTTCAGCCTTGGGAGAATTATAATGTGACAGTCAATCCCACTATTCATTGGTAAAAGAGTAGCCCAAGAGTTGGAGATGGGTGGTGATGGCTAGCTACCTTCCCTCTAGTCTTTCACTGCTAAATTAGGGACAGCTAGTGCAGTTAGCTCTCATGTAGCTTTGTGCAAAATTACAAACCAAGCTCAATGAATGATGCTGAAATCACAATAATTTTTCCATTTCACCTAGTTTTTGTAATGTACTTGGAAAATCCAAATTAAGTATTCTGTTGCAATAATTGGAAATAGTTTTATATATATATATATATTATTATTATTATTATTATTATGGGTGTTTTCAGTCTTTATATTTACTCCTCCTCTCATCGTATTATTTAATGCAGATGGACATATTGCCAACAGTACTGGTGCATTCTGGTCTATTAGGGGCTCACTTGACTGATTATTTCCCCTTTGGTGACTTTAAGCCACAGATTTGTGGGTTAATTGGGTATTATCCAAGGGACTTGTCATCTAGTTCCTTTTCCCTTCTCCATTGTCTCAGGTACCCATATCCTTTCTATTGCCTCAGATCCTACCACAAGTAAATGTCTGTCCAAGGCAGTACAAGATCTTCTCTTCCAGAATGCCATTGAACCTGTCACTCATCCTTCTCCAGATTTTTATTCCAGGCTGTTTGTGGTACCAAAGAAAACCAGGGACTGGTGGCCTGTGTTCGATTTGGCCCACCTCAATCAATTTATGATTATACCCCAATTTACCATGGAGTCTTTTCTCACCCTCAGGTGGGCTCTTTCTCCTGATTAGTGGATGACCAAGGTAGATGTCAAGAATGCTCACCTGCATTTTCCAATATCTTGTCTGTTGAGGCACTATCTTTGATTTGTTCATCATGGGTAGTTTTTCAATTTTACACCCTTTCCTTCAGGCTTACTTCAGCCCAGTATGTCTTTTGTCAGGTGATCAAGGCTTTTGCCCAACATTTGCATGCTTGGGGGTTGCACTTACATCATTACATTGATGACTGGAAGCGCTGATCCCCTGGGATTGAATGCATATGAGGTCTTTTCATTGGGCTCTGCACAACCAGTGGAATATTGTGTGGGATCCATTAGAGGCTCCTATTTCCTTTCCTCCTTCCCTTATTGGCAATCTGTATTGGTGGTTGGGCAGGGTTTGCACATCAGCAGGTATTCCACCTCCACCCACCCTTGTCTGGATTTGTATATCTTCATGCATACTTCCCTTCAGTGATGGGGGATGTGGGTCAATCAGGAGGAAGCTTCTGGTCGGTGGTTTCCAGCTGAAAGATCTTACTATATCAACATCCTGGAGTTTCTTGTCATACATCATGCTTTTGATCATTTTCTTCATCCTGCCAGGAATCATCTGGTCATGATCCATTCTCACAATTTATGGTGGTGGCTTATATCAATCACCAAGGCAGCACCTATTCTTGTTCCCTTTGTTGTTGCACCTTGGATGTCCTTTTTTGGGCCCACATGCTCAGTATTCATCTCACTGCTTGCCATGTTCTGGGTGCATTCAGACTTGTTGTGGATTGTCTTTTCTGTCTCAACAAAGTTTATTCAATAGCGTAGTCTCTTGTCCTCTTGTTTTCCAGTGGCTATGGCTTCAGTGGGGTACCTGGATGCATTTGCTCATCCCTCATTACTAAGCTACGTATGTTTTGGTCTCCAGTTCCACACCCACTTGCAATGGTTGTTGATGCATTCAATCAAGATTGGACCAACAAATACCTGTATGCTTATCATCCCATCCATCTTCTTCCCAGGGTGATTTTTATCATCCCTGCTAATCTGTGTGAAGTCCTTCTGTTTGCTTTTTACTGGCCAGCACAACTGTGGTTTCTGTGGCTGCTACAGCTACAATCTGCCCTCTCCGGTAATTTTTCCTCCTACTCTATTCTTTCTACATCAAATTCTGTAACCGGCATTTCATCCGCCCCTTCAAATCCTTCATTTTCATGCTTGGTTTTTATCTGCTACCTGGCAAGGAGATCTGGTTTGTTGCAGTGGGTCGCTTCTTTTTTAACTTGTTCCATTCACTCTTCCTTTAGGGATGTTTATCAACATAAGTGAAACATTTTCCACCATCAATCTTTGGGTCAAGGGATTTCCCTGCTCTACCCACTGTTCCTCATTTTACAGAGTTCTTCACTTGGCTGTTTTATCCTCGATTGCAGGTTACCAGGCTGCCCTGTCCCACACTTTTTGTTTTTCCAGATACTGTAAAGTTTTTACTTCTTCAGCCCTTTCTGTACTATTGCATTACTTCTGGATTTGTCTTCCACTTTGGCATACAATCATTCTGGATTGGGATGTCAATGTGGTTCTTCACTGCCTTACTTTGCCTTGTGCTCAATTTTTCACTTTTCCCTTAATACTTATTTCCTTCTTCTATTGGTTTGTGGATTTTGTTGATAATATTTATTTGCCATTGATGTTTCACATACTCTGTACTATTCCGCATATATTCTCCTTTATCTGGATCGATCATTTCTTCCCAAAACTTCAGCAGCTGATGAGGGTAACTTCTCCTCCTCACTAATTTCCTTTCCTTCCATTTCCCACCTGTATCCTCCTACTATGTACTGTACATGTTTTTCATTGTTATGTTGCCCTCACGGCTTCCATCCATGATGCCCATTCCTTGGCAGATATCCTCTGTTCATGACCTTTCTCCTTCCACCCTGACCAATTGCATTCAGCTTTTAGTTTGATTGGCTTATTCTTCCTTGTCTTCTTCCTGTAATTTGCTTCAGGTGTGTTCTCATCAGATCAGGCACCTAACCTTTTCCCTGGCATCTCATCTCCATCGTCCCGTGGGGAAATTCTTCAATTGTGCATGTGGACTACACCAGTGTTTCTCAACCTTTTGTTGCTCGTGGCCCCACCCTTCATAGACACTGTTACTTACGAAAAAAGTGACTTTATTTCCACACTGTTGATTTATAATATTACTTTTGCAATATTGTATTGTTTTTAAATATTTTGTTTATAACATACTGTTTATTTATACAAGTAAAACATGTTCTGTTAATCATTAATATTTTATTCAGTGTAATCCTTGGGCCTGATGAACACTTGAAAGTTTTGAATGTCTGGTTGCAGTGTGGTCAGTGATAAGCGAAGATCATCTCTCTTCACAACATCAAGGCAGTTCTGTGTTTTTGATAGCAAATAAGTCACCCTACTAAAACCAGATAAGATGTGGGAAAAGTGATAAGATACGACTTTACCTTCTCCCAGAGCTGTGGAAGCGTATTAGTTATTTCACTACTTATCCAGAAATAATGTTTGTAACGTTTGAATCTAGATTGGGCTGTTATATCACTCTGCTGCTCTTGAGAATCAGTCAAAAACATTCACAGATACCAGACAAACATTTTGATTGTTACTTGAGTACTAGTCATGTCTGGTAACTTTACTTCTGAGCTGTGGGGGAGAAGGGTCTAAAAAAAATCTGAAATTTTGAGCAGACAAAAAACACAACCAACCTCCTTGAAATCTTGTTTAGAAAGAACGAGATGGCATCCTAACACATGAAAATGGCTGAAAAAACCACTAGGGGGACATTCTGAGCTTCCAATTGGTTATTCATGTTATATATAGAAGTAAGTGTATATGAGGGAGCGTGTCCAAAAATGGAAAGAGGTGGGTGGGAGTCAACAAACATGATGACATGGCCTTTGACCCATGACCTGTGTGGAAAGGGTTAATATGCTCGTTCCAGACTGTACTCACTCATGGACTTCATGGGTAAAGCAGAAGGAAGTACTTGCCCATCCCTGCCATGCCTTTGATTGAAAAAATCAGGTGTGATCTGCTTTTAAAAATAGGGTTTACGTGCTCATCTGTTGCACTGTCCCTGGTGTTGATGTTCCTCCAGACTCTCCCTCCTTTTTCTTCCAGTGGAGTATGGGAGTCCTTACCACTTTCCAGTTCCAAGCCTCTGGGGTGGTGGACCATGTTAGCCTCCTCCTGAACGTGATATTGATATATAATACAAGTAATGTTAAAACCAGTCTGTTGAGAGTAGGGCAGTGGTATTCTGCTGGTGTAGATGATATGTCCTCCAATCTGATGCTCCATCTCTGTACAGGTTTATCTGAGGGGATGTTATAGCTTTGGAGTAAGCCATCATAATTGCAGTTCACCCCTTTTATTGGGATCCTACTCCCACATGGATGTTGGTTCCCTGTGACTGGGTTTTGGATTCAGAGCTGAACCAAGCAACATAAGTCCTCAGACATGTATTATAAGTGTCTCTGTTCCTCATTCAATTATACTCTTGTTCTCTCCACCCGTGTTGTAGGTCATGGTGGTCGAACATTCAGATTAATACGGTTCTTCCTCTTACACTATTCTTCGATTTTCATTTACCTTGGATGTTATTGTGCTGAAGGCTGTTCCTGTAAGATGGTTTTGAGTAGGTTAGTTTTCAGTACAGAGACATCTCTATTATTCTGATCCAGATGTCTTGTTCCCAGATTGGTCAAACAATTTATCACATTGCTATCATGTGTCACATTCACAACTTGGGGGGTACTGAACTTGAGGTGAAGATGGTATGATCCTCTTTGTTACCCCCACTGCTGGGTTTTGGATTGTAGGTGACTTGCAGCTGGTATGATCCTCTTTCCTACTCCCACATGAATGTTGGTTCCTAGTGGCTAGGTTTTGGATTGTAGTTGACTTACTGTATATGGTCCATCACACCCCAGCCACTCTACACAGAGGGGCACATCCTTTTACTTTCACCCACATTAAGGTACTCTATGGGCTTGAGATTCCGATATATTGTGGTTTGGTTCCCTATCCAACCACTGTTCTCTCTAGTTTGGATGTGCTCCTCTCATTTTCTGCCCATGTCTGCAACACCTCTTTCCATACTGGGCAAAGAGTATCCCTGGTACAGAAGTGGTGCGGTTTCCCACTTGTGATCCTCTAATGCAAGGATATACTCTTTTAGGGTGTTCTTCAGATGCTTTCAAGAAATGCTTCTTTGTTTTCCCTCACACCAGTCCCTCCACCTATTCAATATGGGATTCTAGCTATTTATGTGAGTGGTGGTAATGTACCATAATATAAATTATAATTTTCATATACTGAAAATATATTTCCAATAGGTACTTACCTCCTTTCACACTTCCCACCCTTTACATATGAGACACAGTTCAACCATTTGATGGTAAGGTACATGAAAGCTCAAGGCTTGTGGCATGCAAAAACAATTTTTGCATATAGGGGGCAGCACTGAACAAGAATGGTTATTATGTGAAAGGAGGTAAGTACCTATCAGAAATATATTTTCAGTATAGGAAAATTATAACTTCACATAAAGAAATAGGCATTATGCTACAGTTATTTGTATCAACATAATATATTTTGTGCATCTTTTGTTTTCCAAGCATATTAGTATGTAAAATTAAGGCTTGAGTTTTATATGCAAGGCACTCAAACAGTACTGTTAAATTGGATATATTATTGTGTTTTGTAAATGTTTGTATATAAAGGTAAATGATTAACCAGTATAACATAATATTAATGCTGTAGATTATGGTTACCCTCCTTTGAAATAATATTTTAAGTGTTATGCTAATTTGTGAAATATATAACTTTGAATTTTTATTTTAGTGAGTATATAGTGTGATGATGATGGGAGAAGGAAAAGAGTATCCAGTGAAAGTTGCCATAAGATCTCGACCTCTTTCTATTGAAGAAGAGCAGACTGGAGCAATAGGTTGCCTTGAATTTATTGAAGATAAACCACAAATCATTGTTGCTTTTGAGAAGGGGTTTACATTTGACTATACTTTTGATGCTGAAACAACACAAGAAGTTGTCTACAAGAGGTGTGCAGCACATCTTATTGACAAGTTTATTGAAGGTAATCACAAGATGTAAAATTTTAAACTAAAAATTTGCATTAATGGTATAATTATGGGAAGTTAGATTTGAGTGAAATAGATATTGATTCAGCACTTAAAGTTAATTTTTTAAAGTTCAGGCATAGAAAAAACCCTGAGCTAATGAAGGAAAGAATATGGCAATGCAAATTGACAGTATTTTACCTTTCCATAATTACTGTTTGAACATATCTTTATTCAGTAGAATTTTTCAAAGTTTTTGTGAAGATACTATGGCATTTAGGTAGTATCATTGTAAACAGATTGTACTCAGTTTTACTTTGCATTAATCTTTGTCTTTGACAGGTTACACACTGTGTTGCTTCTGTTGGAATTTGAAATGTACCCAATACTAAGGTGATACAGTAGTTTGCACTAATTAGTAAAGGCAGGGATATTGTGGGATGTTGAACCATGGTGATGTGTTACCTGGTTAAATTCCAGTATCACACAATTTTTTTAGTCCCTGTTTTGTGTAAGATTGATCTCTCCAGCAGCTAGACAAACCAGAATTAGAAGCTGGTTACTTTTAAATATCCAAGTTGTAAACAAAGAGTTTTCTATCAGACATTCTTCCTTTTTTTCATGTGTACTCTATGGTATGTAATTAAACTTGTAATAGCATGGTCATTGAAAGTTATTTTCCAAGTTCCTGTAAAACTCACAGAGGAGACAAGAAAGCTGTTATTGAGGTGAAACTATGACTGAGAATGCAACAAAGACAAGGAGAATACTTCTCTTGGACCAGCCAGAGGCTTTCACCAGCTGTGTTGATATTGTAGATCCAGTCTAGTGGAACTGGTTTGACTTCAGATAGTTACCTTCTTCATATGGGAGCATATGATTATAAATGTGGATTGCCATAACAACAAATTGTTGGGGCATCCTGAGACTGACTGGGATGATATTTATGGGACACCAGGATGGCCATCATTTAGCCCAGGCAATGCCCAACATTGTTTGGAGTCACCTGTGGCTTGCAGAAGACTTGAGATGCAAATGATAGATGATATTTACCATGAAGAGCTATGCCACTACAAGGTGGAGTAGCCATCATTTCTTTTCTCAGTATTGGAGAATCAGAGAGTGTCCAGGAGCCTCTGAGACTAGTAAGATGATCTGGTAATGACATGTATTCTCCCAGGTTATCATCTTCTACAAATTTCACTTAAACACTATGACAAAGAGGTCAATGTTGTCATCCCAAGGATATTGCCAATGTTTCAGCTGCAAACATGTACCTATCTAAGTAACCACTATATGGTGGCTGTGAGGGGAATAAGATTAACTTGCTGATATCCATTGAGTCTGCTAAGGAGAATCTGAACCTAAAGTGTTTCTGGAACAGCTGGATACAGAAACGGGCAATGTAATGTTGGATAGTAAAGCACTTAATTCTTTAGAGCATGTGACAATACAGGAGCAGCCTTTTGATAAAATTATGGTTTTCAATGTGCTGCTGCAGTATTCTTTTCACATTATGAAGGACTGAGTAATCCATAAAACTGAGTTCATGGCTTGAAAGTGACAGCTTTTTAAAAACTTAGCTGCTTATGTGCATGATCTGCATATCTTGCATGGGTAAGCATACCCTTACATGTGAGTTTCAGATCACAGGGAGGTTTTCATTGACAAATTAATATACCAAGCAAACATCTGTGACATCACATAGGTCTCAAGGATGCCTTTTCACTGACATGGTCTGATTCTGTGGCTGCATTGTTTGAAGTGATCACATTGAACTGGACACCAGAACTGAAGAATCTAAGGTGGTTGATTTTCTTTCTAAACAGTCTCAGTGGTCAGCAACAACTCCTCTGCTGCAGGTACCATGAGATGTTTTGATGCAGCCACCATATGTCCCTATATGACATTCAGGTTGCCGTTGCTCAGTTTCAATGGCAGCACCATAAATACAGCAGAATAAGCTCTTCCTGTTTTAATTGTGATCTGGCAAGACACTGGACGTAGTATTTTCAATATCCTATTATGAAACAGGACAGTAAGCACAGTCCCAATGCTAGCTGATACCACAGCAAATGCAAGAGGGTCAAGGTGCAGCTGCTTCAGCTGGTCACAAACTTGAGTTGGTACAGTCGTCTGCCTGCACCCAGGGATATACTGACTTGTTTGGTCATCTGTGATGATACATGAAAGTAAGGTTGAGTTTTCAATGGACAGTGGTGCAGCTAAGATCTTGCTCAAATTTGTAGGGTCAAGTATTTTAGATGAGTCTACCACTATGGCAAATAAGCATAGTTTTTCTGTGAAAGTTAATAAGATATAGAAGTGAGGTACATCTTTAACTCTGTATCAATGCTGTTGCCCATAGAATTAACCTAGTTGTTTCTGTGGAACAGGTGAGCTGTAGTTCAAATGCCCAGAAGTGGCTGGAGAGAACCCAGAAACTATATTGCATATGTATGAACATACTTTCATGGTACTATGTAGTCAGGCTACTGTGTTATGACCATCTGCTGATTGATGCTGATGCTCCAAGTTCAGGCAATATCAGGATTGGATTTTGGCAAGCTGCATTTGTTTGTTCCAGATGTTCCTAATGTATATATACAAGTGACGTGCCTCAATCTTCATAATTTGTTCTCAAATAAATCATGTACTTAGACTACAAAAAGTGGAATGTTGGCCCAAGGACTTTGAGTCAACTGCAAAGTTTTGTAAATTATGTTCACTTAGTATTTCTTCATCAGTGTAAACCCTATAACAAACCTCCTTGCAACAAAAACAGGAAGGAAGGTGGGTGTGTGTGTGAACCTAGTAATAGTTATGAATACCAGAAATTTAAGCACTTTTTGAGTGATGCTAGGATATTTTTATGGTAATTCAAACTTTGCTGAAAATACATTTATCTTTGTAAAAAACATTAAGAAGTAGTTAATATATATCAGGACATGAACTGAAGGTCACCAATATTTTTTTTTCCTTCTCCATGATTTACCTCAGTTCAGGATACACTGGACTCTCTCCATTATGAAGGCACCGTATTGTGTATTTTTATAGGTAAAAAAACTTACTGATTCAATATTCTTAAAAATCAGATTGTAAAAACATTAGGGAATTATTTAGAAAGGATCGGTATTGGCTGCCAATAGGGAGATCAGTTGCAGGCTTACATGAGTTCCGTATGAACTAGAGATGTTGATGGCCGGCTATGACAATAAATATTGATTATTGTCGGTTACCTTTTACTTTAGGTTTTTGGTCAGCCATAACAGCAACTTTGGTTATCAGTGCTTTAAGTGAGCTTATTATTTGAGGACCTAGTAGACACATAGTTTTTCTTCATGGCCACCATGATAAAAAATGTTGCCCAGAACTACGTAGAAGTTTAATGGAAAATAAATAAATGTAAATTATTGTTCACAACTGTATATAACTAAAATATAAAACTTGAAAATAAACAATAATGTGCATTTTCAAGTATGTTATAAAAGTGCAAAAAAATGAGAAATTTAATATAGAAAAAAAATCAATTTTTTTTTATTTTTAGAAAAAGGCGGTCCAAAACTAACTTTTCACTAACACAGGGGTTAAAAGTAATTTTTGTATATGCCATCCATTTCATCAAAAATGTCATTTGTAAAGACAATACATTTTGTTTTTTCATTGTGTGGCTGTTCATTCTTTTTTGTTCTGTGTCAGTTGTTGATTAACTTTCTCAACACGGGCTCGAGCAATTTGACCGACCATGTTACCTCTTTGTGCTCATTTAAAGTCTTTATAAATTTAATACTTCTAACTTTCAATATAGTGTGTATATCTTCACAAAATTTGGCTGTCTTTCAATTAATATTATAAGTCTTTCACATAAAAAAATCATATTTTTAATGAAGTATTTTTAATAAAATAAACTAAAGATTTGTCCATGAATATATTGAGTATTTGTTTTGAATAGTCCATGTGCAAACTAATTTTCATGTTAAAATTAAGAATACTTTTCTCCTCAGAAATCACAAATTTCCTTTGTATAATCCCTAAAACCTCCGAAATGCATTTCACACGTTTTTTTTTTCAGTAGAACTTTATAATTTATCTGTTATTTTCACTACCCTATCTCAAAACGTAATCGGTCAATTCGACCAACCTCGTAACCACCAAAAAAGAAATCTAAATTACTTTTTTTTCTTTCAAGAATGACTTCAAATTGTAACATGAAACTACATTAATTTCTCCTAAGGAGCTTTAAGTTCGTAATAGTATACATCTATTTATAATAAAATTTTATTATTTTATTGCTCTTTGAACTGTGTCTAACTACTATCCGCACCATTATAAATTGTAAATCACTCTGGGAATGTGCAGCTCATGTTACACCAACAAATTACATTACCCACAAGCTACTACGAGCTGCTCACGTGTGTACCTTGTGAAACATTTTTGTCATAATACTATTATTATTTATTTTACCTAATCTAATCTTAACTAATCTAAAAGAATAAACATGAATAATAAGAAATAAAATACTTAACCAATCTTCTTTTTTCTTGCTGTTGATTGTCGAAGAGAGTTAACCCTAATTTTTATACTAATGCTAGTAATGCACATAATATCACATAATTTTTATTTAATTAAATAATGCACCAAAGAATATAGACTAATAACATGCAAAAAGTAGACAATTTCCCTTACTCCTGAAAATTTTTCTGGCTTTCTAACTATGTGACAAGTGTTGTTACAAATTCATCCAAGCTAATCGTTAACATTCTCATGGGAATGATGTTGGCACTCTGAATGAAATTGACATTTAACTGTTCAGAACATAATGTTATACAATATGTCATTTGATAGATGAAAACTTTGACTTTCTAGTGGTTATAGGTAATATATAATTAAACATAAGAGAGAACTATTAACGAATTCTGAAAGAGAGGATGTGACAGGTAGGCATGGCGGGAGGGGTCTGATTTTCTATTCGATAGCTCTGTAACCAAACAAAATTGAAGACTATTAAAATTATGGT